GAAGTCCCCTGCCTCATGGTCACTTTTCCTCAGCACGTGGACATTTCCACCACAACCCCTGAATAAACCAGAACTGTAGGATGGCTCAGGGTGGAGAGGGTCACTTTGCAAAGGTGCCCAAAAGCAAGGTGAGCTGAGAAAGAGAGATGGTATTAGTGGGTCCTAGACTAGTTGAGGCTCTGCCGCCATCAAGGTGTGTGGCCCTGAGCAGGGAACCAGCCACTGGGACGTTTGGTTTCTCATCTACAAAGCGGGATTGATCAGGGCAACCAGTTTGCTAGTGGTTCTCGCGCGGCCACATTTAGCTCAGGGCAGGGTGTGGCACCGGATTCGCCACGGCAGATACGGAGGTGGGAAGTATGTGTGTCCGCGCTTGCCCATCCCAGATCTGGTGAGTCACCTAAAGCTGTGCTGCTTATAGAGCCGCCCTAACCCAGACTTAAAAGTCATGTTGCCCCAGCTGGCTGCTTGAATCCCCTCTCCAGCCCTAGACAAATGGCCGCTCAGCCTCTGCCAAGACCGCCCGTGACAGGTCAGTGGCCACCCACCAGAGAGGCCTCTGCCGTCCGAATGTTCTAACTTGCAGAAAGGCGGTTCTTTCGCAGACATTAAAATCTGCCTCCCGGTAGCTTTTTATCTCCTGGTTCTAGGACAGCTATCCCCAAGTCTCTTTTTCTCCAGGCTAAACATTCTCCCGAAGTCCTTCGCCTTGTTTCTAACCGCCTGCGCCCTCATCAGGCCGGGCTCATCCGAACATCACGCACTGTCGGTGTTCCGCGTCTTCCCCGCAGCCCTAAGCAACGCGGTGTGACGCCACTGCTTTCTCCTTACGGAGCCTAAATGTTTCGTGTTTTCTTTTGCTTGGGTTCCATCTCATTCTAACCTGACTCACGTTGAGTTTAGTCAACTGACTCTTACATCTTTCCCATCTTGTACTTTTATAGTTTCTTCTTCTTCTTCTTTTTTTTATCCAAAGGTAGGACTTTATGTTGCTCCCTGGTGGATAGTCTCCTAGATCATTTTGGATCCAGAACCTGCTACCCAAGCTCATAGCCCTCCAATGTCTGTCATCTACACATTCCATCAGTGAGGCATCATTTTCCCACTTCAGCCAGATTAAAAATGTTTTATACACCAAGGATCAAATGCTGGCCTCCTCCTGCCAAGCTGACATAGGTTCCTTCAGGTTTGATTATTAAGTCTGTTTTAAGGTAAGTTCTGTTTCTTTATGCCACTCTTATTTGTGTCTTCTTCCACATTAGAAAACTGATAACTAAGACTCTAAAATGGTCATATTAAATTTAAAAAAGACATTGGTTTAGAAAGGTACTAATAATACTAGTAATATCTGGATATCTTTCTCTGACACACAACTTGATGAAAACAAATTAAGCTTGTGTTTCCAATTTTTCATCTGTCTGTAAGGCCATTTGTTTTAAAGGAAAAAGTGCTGAATGTTAAAAACTTTGAGGATAAGTAAATGATACAATACATATGCAAGGAAATGAAAAAAGGAAACTCAAAGGAGCCCTGGACCAGAGAAGTAAGCAAAGGAACAGCTGGGGGAGACCCTGCTGCAGTGTAGGCGTCTGAGCCCAGAGACAGACCTCGCTCAGCTCCGTTCTCCACTAGCTGGTCACCGAGGCGCCGGGGATGCCCTCAAGGAACGGAGCAGACTCCCCCTAGTGGTGGGCCTTACAGAGTTTTCTGTAGCGTGGTTTCTCCCTCTATTCCTTTTCCACGGGATGAAACCCAAGTCAGCGGGAGAATGCGAAAAATTGACCTTAAATGGCCTTTGCTTAGACTGTGAGGGGCACCGTTTCCTTTTCCAATAAGTAAAAGTGAAAAAGCAAACTATTTCTGTTTGGAGCTTGTTGATGTTTGTGAGAAAAACATACAACAGCTTAAAGTCATCTAATTTTAAAGTTCAGGGCAGGGAATGAGGCAATCCAGTACGAGGAAGAAATAAAGCGGTACCAAGTGTGAATTTCAGTTGTGCACTGTGGCCAGTTCAAGGAACATGGAGAGGACTGAGAGGGGGTGGCAGGTAATGAGAAGACAGGACAAAATGATGGGGTGCAGGGAAGGGGGCGTGAGACGTGTCTGCAAAGGGGGGTTACCAAAAGGGGGGCTTTCCTTAGACTCCCCCCACCCTCAGGAAGGTCATCACTGGAAAGGGCAAAGGACTTTGCCGGATGTGTTGTGCTAAGGACAAAGGCATTTAGATGCTGACAGGGGAAGTTAGGGCATTAGTAAAAAGTTGAATTTCTAAGACAACGAAGTTGATAAAACCAGCTCTAGTATTTTATAACCTTTCCAGAGATAAATGACTTCCAAGAATAGCTCAACTATTTGTTGGGAGAAAAGTCCCCCAGTTTAGGTACTTTTCCCCCTGGCAGTCACAAGATCTATTCATTTTCTCCTACCCAATTCTACAACTGGCAGGATGGCTATTCTCATGGGAGGGTCACTGTGCTTTTAAAGAACTGTTAGGTGACATTTGGGAGCCACAGGACACTGTCAGACATCAAGGGGACAAAGCCATCATTGGTCAGCCCACCATGATAATCCTGAGGTGGAACGACTGGGGACACTTACCTGCCGCAAGGCAGAGAAGTCCCGTTTAGGACGGAGAAGAGAACACACTTATGAACAGTGGCCCTGCCTCGGTTGTCAGCTTGGATGGCCACAAGGTTTTCCCTGAATCTGAGCTGAAATCGGCCTCCCTGCTCTCCTCCCCACTGACCCTGCCCTGCTCTCCAGCATGTAAAGGCAGCCTCTGCCACAGACTCTTTCAAATGACTGGCTTGCTCAGCAGGATCCGAGAGCAGCTGCACCAGGAAAAACTCCCAGTGACTAGAAGCAAAAGCCAGTGGCGAAGGGGGAAGGGTGAGCACTGGATGGATCGCCGACAGGCTTCATGGGCGTGGGCAGCCAGGCCTCTTCCTGCCTGCTTCTCTGCACGGGTCCCCTAATAATCAGGAGAGATGGGGTGCTTCTGCAAAGAGGTGGCTGGGGCTCCCAGGAAGAAGACAGCCACAGAAAGGCCACAGGGGATTCCTGAAAGCTCAAGGAGGGGGGGTTGGGGGTGGGCAGGGGGGAACCTGACAGAGTGTGTCAGTCCTGGCTGGTGATACTGCTTCCAAAAGCTGCAAGTGATCATCTAATTAGCAGATCACCGGCAGGGGTGCCCAACTTTTTGGCGTCTCTGGGCCACATTGGAAAAAAGAGTTGTCTTGAGCCACATATTTAATACACAAACACTAGTGAAAACTGATGAGCAAGAAAAAGGCTTTAAGTAAATTTACGACTTTGTGTTGGGCCGCACCCACAGCCATCCTGGGCCGCATGCAGCCCCCGGGCTGCAGGGTGGACACCCCTGGAAGGGGATCATGGGAGGAACTCAATTGCTAAGGCTGCTTTAAAAGGAAATGGGCCCAGGACCATGGTACTAAATATGATACATTTTCTATAAGCTTACTCTTTGTTTAGCCTGATATTTTTCTTAATGGGTGAATAATGGATTTCTTTATATAGTTCACCTCTCAGTAGTCCCTTCCCCATCTCTGCCCCAGCACCTGGAGCTACAGAGTTAGGAGAAGTGAGTGAGGAGGACCCTGCGTTGCAGCCCTGACCGGAGCCCGCAGCCCCCTCCTGGCCAGGTGGTGGGATCACGGCAGGTCTCAGTGCTCACGTCTGGGTTCTGAGTTATGGTGGGGGGTGGGGGGGTTGGAGGAAGGATTTGAAGTCATGGAGAGAAATCCATAAATCAAACCAGACAGACCAAAGGCAGATTCTGTCTCATATAAACATAGGGTTTTTTGCTGAGATGGGTTGGGTGGACTTTCCGCTGGCTCATGCATGGGAAACAGCCCAGGGGGCCGGCTGGGGAAGGGGCAGTAGCGCACAGCTCTGGAAGTCCACTTCGCAGCCAAAGGGAGCCTGACTTGCGGTTCCAGGGGAAAACATCCCAGTGGGGAATGAAATCAGAATTTCAAACCATCACCTTGATACCTAATGGCTGTATGGTGTCATGGGACAGATCCTTTAAGACAGAAAACCTGCAGGAAGTCTTATGACTAGGCTCTGTGACTTTGTGGGGGAAGGGATATCTGGAAGCAGACTCCCGAAACAACTGCTGTGGGGATGAAACTTTGACCTTTGGCTAGCGGGAAAAATTCAAAGGCCTGGGCTTGCTTTGCTGATTGGGAGACAGGCGAGCCTCTTGGTCTGGAATGAAGCTGTGTCCTGCAGACTGAGACTTCTGGCCTGCCCTTGGGGAAGAGGGTTTTGTGGTCAGATGATTGGGGACAGGACTCAGCTCTGCCACTGAACAGTGAACATACCTGGCAGGTCAGAGTCTCAGTTTCCTTGTCAGTAAAATGGGGGCAATGAATCATTCCCTGCCTCCCTTCGTGGCGAGGTGAGTCACTAATGAGTTAGTATCTGTGATGTTACCTCAGAAACAATAAAGCACTACAGTGACTTGAGATATCTGTGTCATGAGGCAGGAAAACCACCTAACATCTTTGAGAGTGGGGGCAGGTGCAGCCGGGCCGAGGTAACACAGGGATGCAGGCGTCTCAGGGAGGCTGTGTCGGGCCCCGGGATAGAGCGCTGCCCTCTCTGGCTCTCCAGGGGCCGCTGACACTGGAAAGGCCAGTAGCACCAGGGAGGAGGCAGCGCCCAGTCCGGGCAGACATTGACTTAGAAAGTGCCAGGAGGGAGTTGGCTGAGAGCTACCCGCACGCCCCATTGCTTGGGTTTCAGAGAGCACCGTTAGTGGGTGCCAGGTTTCCCAAGGAGGGATGGTCAGTTTATGGCGACACTCAAAGCCGAGGCTCTGCTCCTGGGCACCATGTGCACACTTTACGAAGGTGGGGCTGGTGACCCGTTGGCTGGTAGCGCCCTGGCCCAGGGCGCCCCGGGTTGGGCAGCAGCAGCCAGCCGGTCACACTGCTCACAGACTTGCTGCATGCCCTGCGGGTGGGTGTGGGACGTTATCTGCTCCCAAGGAAGCCCGGGTGCCTGTTGGCCACACGAGTGCAGGAGGCACAGCAGGCGGTCTTGTAGTAGTTGTAGACGCAGAGGCGGGCCTGCACCACCACGTTGCAGTTGTAGTACCTGTCCTTGCAGCTTTCATCTGGAGCAGAGAGAACAAGATGCTGTGAGCACAGGGGCAGTAACTAAGGGGAAGAGAGAGCGCTGGGAGGACTCTTCATCCTGGTCCTGCTGCCTGTGACTGACTGCCGCACAGAGCTTGCAGTTCTCTTTTTTTCTTGAGACATGATGCTGAAATCTCACCACTCTGACCTTGAGGGTGATGGAACCAAGCCTCAGAATGCATTACCATTGTCATCAATTCACATTTAAGTTTATCTTTTGTGGGTGGCTTGGATTGCCATCCATGCTACAAACTTGTCATCCCAAAAGTACTTTGACCCCAACCTCCATGACTATGCACAAGGTCACAGGGAGACCTAGCTGGGTGCAGCATTTTCACACCAGAGAACTTGACTGAGCTTAACGAAGAGGAATCTTTACTCCAAGGTAGGGATCCCTACTTACCGACTTCAGGGACACAGTCCTGAGGGTTACATGATTCTTTCTCTTCTGGTTTCAGCTGAGGATCACAGAGATTACTGAGGGTCATGCCATCTGACAGACAGCGTACTTCGCGGACCCGGAAGCCACCCTGGCAGCTCTTGGAGCACTGCATGGGGACGGAGGGGGGAAGTTAGATTTCCTGGCAGCTTGTTAGCTCGGCCTACTGCAGAGGGCAGATACTGGATGATTTCGAACTTCTCCGAAAGGAGACAGGACATTCAAACAAACTCTTAAGCAGCTATCAACCAGGTTCAACTTGCGGCAAGTCATGTCCCCATGTATATCTGACCCAAGTCCACCTCTCGGATTATTGTTCTTATTATTTTTTTATCCTCACCCAAGGACAGGCTTATTGATTTTAGAGGGAGAAGTATGGGGGTGGTGGGAGAGGATGAGAAACTTTGATGTGAGAGAGAAACAGCAATTGGTTGCCTCTTGTACACACCCCGATCAGAGACGATCAGACCCTCAACCTAGGCATGTTCTCTGACTGGGAATTAAACCCATGACCTTCTGGTTTACAGGATGATGCTCCAGCCAACTGAGTCACACTGGCGAAGGCACCCCTTGGACTATTTTGAAGCAGATCTAGACATATCATATCTTCTGTAGTATTTCAGTTTGTAGCTCTAAAACACAAGGATTCTATAAAAATTACCACAATACCATTATTACACCTAGAAATTAACAATGCATAGTTCCTTATTGTTTTTAAATACAGGGTGGGTAAAAGTAAATTTACAGTTGTTTGCACAGAAAATAATGCAATAATTAATAATAAAAGGAAAAACTCTTTCCACATGTCTGCCCCTATGGATATTTAGTGTTCCTATTTTCACTTGTCTTGTGAATCTCATAGATTTTTTAATATAGTTTTTAAAAAGTTAGGATCCACATCAGGTCCGCACACATGACTCTTAGTCTCTATGGCCCCTCTTCTCTGCTTCCTCCCCCTGCACCGAGTTGTTTGTCCGGCAGAGCTTCCCACAGCCAGGATTTTGCTGACAGCATCCCTACAGTACAGCTGAACACGGTCCTCTGCCTTCAGTATTTCCTGAAAATTGGGAGTTGGAGCTAGAAGAGGCCTTGACAGGTGCAGATTTGATTTTTTGCGGTGAGACAACTCCATAGGATGGGTATGACTGTCTCTCTTTGGGGATGTCAGCTGACACTGGTGAGCACAGCCAGATATTTTAGTTCATTAGGGGTTGAAAAATAAGAACAATATTCTACCAAATCTCCTTTTATTAGCTGGAATCTTTTCTAAAGAATCCCCCCTTATCATGCCCTATCCACTTAGTCTTCACTTATCTAGTGGTACAGTTTGTTAGTAAATGCCGATTCTTTTCTTTTATTTATCAGTTTTCAGAATAATGAGTTGGTTCCCATTATATCCTTTAATAGTGACCTATCAGTCTCTTATTGTCCTAAAAGGATGGATTTAACATATGATGCGATGTGTTTCATTTATCTATGGCGGTTGCTGTTTCCACTGACACCTGTTGGTGGCTGGCAGGAGCCTGTAAAAGTTGGTTCTGAAGTCCCCTGGTCCTAAACTCAGTTGTCTTTGAGAACTTCTTTGTTGCTGTTATAAAAAGATATCTAATTTATATGTATATGGTCCCAGACCTGGAACTGGCCATTTATCTAAGAATTCCCAGCTCCTTTAGTGGAGAATGTTACATTGGAGCTACATTCTGGCTGATAGTTGTGCCCTTTGCTACTGGGCTGGCCATCGTTTCCAGGCTCTTTCAGTGGATAAAACTAGGAAAGTGAGATACATTAATTTATGAGTCCACACTGATATTTCTAATTCGCATTCAGGACAACAGGATTTTCACCTAAACTTTATCTGTCTTTTTTATCTATATCTTTTCTCTCCCAAGTTCAGAGCCCTATCTCTCAAGGAAACTGGGTATAATAGAGTTATACTACTGTATTATCATACATGTGTATTATCATAGTACTGTAAAGTATATTACTTGTTTACTTTATCACTCATTACACTCCCAACCATCTCAGACTACAGTGCAACACTATCACCCAAAATGTAGTTACTGCCAACAATGTAAACATTTTTCTGCAGGCCTTTTATTCTTCGGGATGGATAGTCAAATTACTGTGTGCAATAGGACTGAGGACGCCAACTGAATATATACTTAGGTTAATTTGTTTTATTTCATTTTTCCATTATTTGTGATTTAAAAAAATTAATTTTATTTTATAATGATAAAAAATGTTTACTTAGTTCTTAACTCATTTTTAAACCCAAATTTATAAGACAGGGCATATGCAGAGACATCCAGGTTCTCTCGCTGTCTTTGTTATTGTCATTTATGTCCAAGTTTCATCACACCCAACAAATCCCGTTGTGCTGTCGTTCTGCAGTGAGGTTCCGCCCACCCTGTCCCCTGCAGTCACTGAGCTCCATCTGTCCCTATAGTGCTGCCTTTTACAGAACATTATATGAATGAAATCATACAATTTTCAGTTTTTGGGGTCTTTCCTTCATTTAGCAAAATGCATGTGAAGTTCAGCCATGGGGTTTAGGTACCAAGAGTTCATTTGTTTTTGTTGCTGAGTAGTACTCTGCTGTGCAGAGGTACCGCCTTGAACTGCGGAGGGACATCGGGGTGGCTTCTGGCCAGGCATTTTCCTAGTTTGTCTCCTGTGACGTGACCTGGGGGATCTGGCCCTTTCTAGGCTCTCCAAACCAAATGACAGGGAAAAAAACAGCTATCTGTTCGTGTGTTCTCACGGGCCTGGGCCAACCAACATCAAAATAATTGAATTCCGTTTCCCAGCAGTTGACAAAACACCTCTGAAGCTTGACCTCCTTTGCTCCCTTTGCCTCTGAGGTGCAGTTTACCATGTGCCCAAGTGGCTGTTCTCACTGGAGCTGACATATACTCTTTGAAAACAGAATTTTCAGCATTTATTCATATATTTTATAAGCAAAATCCTTTTGATCGCCTTTGAATGATTTTGAGAAAGGCTCCAGCCTTCACTCTGGGCTGGCCCACAGATCTTCAGCGATGCAAAGCAAACCCAGGGCCTGGGTCTGGGGTGCGTTAAATGGTCACAGCACTGACGCCCTGAGGGCGTTTTCTGTGTCAGGAGGTTTCTTCACAATAAACTCTTCTCCTTAAAAAGTGGGGGGTGAGGGGACGGCCTACTGCTATTTCCATCCTTTCCCACTTCATTCCTAATAACCTGGTATTTCTATATTTACTGTCTCTCTGTCTCAAACTCTCTCTGTCTCTCATCACTTAACACATTACCCTACTCCTTGCAAAAAGAATCTGAGGTGGCTTCGGAAATGCTTTGAGGGCTACAAGGTATTAAAAAAAAGTGGGAAAACTGGGGTAAAATGAAGACAAAAGTAGGAAAAACCCATTTTGTAAGGTCTGATAAGCTCTCTCTTTTTGAGATGGACCATCTCTTAGCTCTGAGTTTCCTGGCAGCCAATTCAAAGAGAAAAACAGGACCAGTCCCAAAGTGTGCTCCCAGGACACCTGCATCCAACTCTCCTAAGGAGCTTGTTCAAAACACAGACTCCTTGGTGGACCCAGCATTGATCTTTTCTAACAAGATCCCAGCTGATTCTTATGCATGCTGAAACTTGAGAGTCACTGCTTTACAGCGGCTCTGCAGTTTAGAGATCAAGATTGTGCCAGCCTCAGGCTCCGTCCACCGGGTAGGCGGCATCTGGGGCGCCCTGACAGCGACCAACTAGATGGATCACTGAAGGGAACGTACTTGCAGGCTGAGCCCAGTGCCTGGCACCTAGGAGGTGGCCCAGGTGCGTGCAGGGGAGGAAAGCAGGAGAATGGTGTAGAGTGTGATCTCTATTGAGGGCCCCCTGACTTACCATGCTCCACTCGGTGCTAAACCATTTGGCCCCGCAAGGCTTGAGGTGGCAGGATTGCTGGCTGGGGGGTCTCTCCAGGAAAGAGCATTCATAGGGGTCCAGCACTTCAAAGGTGTCTGCATTCTTCCTAACACAAATCACCTCCCTCTGTTGGGTCCCGCTCCCACACTCTATGGAACACTGAAGAAAGAAGCAGGGAAAGATGGTGTCAGATCATGGGAAGGAGATGGGAGCTACTGTCTATCAAGGTATGTTTGCGCATGCTCTCTGTCATCCATTCAGTGCGGGAGACGCTGCCTGCGCCCTCCAGTGTTCCTAACAGTGTGTGTCCGGGATGGAGAGTGGGCGCCCTGGGTCGCCACAGCTTCAGGCTCCTGGTCACAGAGATCCCGGTGCCCTCTGTGCTGAGAGTGAAACGGTCCCCCTGAGGATCCCTACAGGAGCCCCACTCTGACTGTGAAGCAGTGAACTAACTCCCTGGGTTTTCTGCTGGTCCCCCAGTGGGTAGACACGGGGAATGAAGAGTCTGTCTCCTAGAGCCTCCACACCTGTGCATGAAGGACTAGGTTGAGCTGAATAGAAAATTCTAGACTTGTGACAATACCGTCAACCCTCCCCTCCCAGCAGGGTGGCCAGCAGGAAACCTGTCACCACGGAATTCGAGCCTCTGCTTCCTACCTTGGCGCTGAAGCTTGCTGGGCTCTGAGCACAGAGGCCGGTCAGACAATTACAAACATTGGTGCATTCTGTTAGTTTATGGAGATATGGGGCAATAACTACCCATAAGTTGGTTACTTTGTAAAATGATTTTTGTTCATGTTTAGTTTACTCAATATTTCTTGATTAAAAATGTTAAGAGCTGTGACTTTAACATTTAGAGCTTTAGAGACTTTAAAGAATCCACTCCCTCTATGAAAAGCTTTAAACAATGTCCATAGCTGAAACTCTTAACATAGCCTTGCTTCTGTAGGCAGGCACGAGGTCAAATAAAAACAGGGGGGAAACCCACATCTCTGCAGGAAAAAAAAAGACAAACCCAAGCCAACAGACTATAAACTGGCCACACCAGGCATAATGACCATCATCATTGGCGGTTTCTGCTTTGTGCCTTCTTTTCTGACACCTTCACATGCATCCAGAGAACCTCTTTAGCTTGTTTTTCCTTTTTCTTCCATGTTAGTTAAAGAGTTAGTTAGTTAATTTACTTGTGTGGGAGGTTAAGTCCAATCCCAGCCTCACAGGTGAACTGTATTCTGTCTACGTGGTTTTAGTGTGTGTTAATGATGTGTCGGACCTGGCATTTCCCTGCATGTGATTTTTCTCATCTGTGTGTAACAATGCTCCTCAAGACATGTTAGTTGATTATTGATTTGGCATATATTCAGTATATTCACGTTCTTTCCTTTTCTTTCGAGTGCTGCAGACAATGAAAGTCGGAGGCAGGAGAGGAGCAATGGGCTTCCCCGCAAAGGGGGCGTGAGGGTACGTGTGAGAGCTCCCGGGACAGCAGAGGCGGGACACCGGACTGAAGTCAGGAGGGGATGTGGAAACTAGTCTAGACATTGTCACTAAACAGGTCTGAGTCTTTGGCCAAGACACAGCACTTTCCCGAGTCTCCTTGCCTCACCTACAAACTGGAGGGGTTTTGAAACTGGATCTGAAAGTCCCGTGACTGCTGAGGGGCGAGGTCTGTACTAAGTGCTTGGCAGAATAGCAGACTGTAAACCTAAACCCAAAGCTGAAGTTGTTTTACACTGTATTTGTGAATTCCTTAAAGACATTAAGTGATTAAGGGAGAAGGAGCACATATCTCAGCCTTTTCCTACCCTAAATGCCCAGAGAAGGCAGAATATGTGTGGGTGGGAACAAATGAATGGATGTGTGTGGGGACAAAGCAAGGGAACGGTATTGTGTGCGTATGAGACAGCATTTGAAACAGGAATGGGCTCTCCTCCTTCCTGGACCAGAGATTATGGGGAATCTTAGACGGGTGGAAGATAGACAAGACGATTGAAGGGGAAGATCACAGTCCTAAGTGCACACAGAGGAGGACTCCAAACCAAGAGGAAGCAGCTGAAGTGCTTTGGGAGGGAATGGCAGTGGCCATGCAGCTGTGAGCAGGGAGCGAGGGAGGCCTTGGGACCATGAGAGAGCGGTCAGCTAAGGTACTGACCAGAAGCCTGACTGGGCCAAGGCACCTGCCCCTCCGGGGAGCATTCAAGTCAAAGGGCAAAGCGAAGGCATTTTCAGATATTCAAGGGCTCAGAAAACGTATGGCTTATGAATCCTGTTAGAAGACTTACGGGGTTACGGTCTCCAACAAAATTAAAAAGAACTAGGAAGAAGACACAGGATACAGAACTAGAAGTTGGCAAAGACACCAGTAAAAGCTATTGTTAATAATGGATATGGGTTTCTTTTTGGGATGATGAAAAGGTTCTGGAATTAGATAGTGGTGATGGTTGTACAGTTTTGTGGCTATACAAAAAACCGCTGAATTGTACACCGTAAGAGGGTGAATTTTACGATATGTGAATAACATTTCAATAAAAATGAACTTTGAAGGGGAGGAAGCTATTTTAAAATCTAGATCAGTATTTTCTATAAGTTAATTAACATTAATATGGAGCTAAATCCAGATGATGTCAACATCTTTTTGGAGGTATTATAGATTGAGAGAATGTGGTTGCTGATAACTTGACACTGATAGAAACATAAAAGTTTAAAACTCTGTGCTAAATCTCTTTTTTCTTCTGCTATCACTAGATGAATAAAAATAGGATTAATGTTAGAGAAAAAAAATGGAATTAAGGAAGCCTGACCAATATAAATGTGTGGAAAGGAAAGAGGGAAAAATGCCAAGAAAGCGTGACAATAGAAATGAAATAGAAAACACAAAATAAGATGGCAGGAAAAAGTCCAAACATGTAAATGATTACAATAAATGTGAATAGTTAAAATTTAACTCTTAAAAAGTAGAGATTTGCAGATTAGGAAAAAATAAAGACAAACATAGTCCTGCACGTAAAAAAACAAAACAAAACATGTCTTAAAAAGTACATAAGAAGTTGACAAAGTCTATCAGGTGAAAATCAACAATGAGAACAACAATAAGATAGAGTAATACAAATATCAGATAAAATGCACTTCCTGGAGAAAAGCATAGAAGACAAAAAATGATATTTAATAGGGAGAAATGCTTCCACGGAGAAGTGAGAGCAATTCTGCGTGTTTCTACACCTTTAGAATCCCTGCAGCTGTACTTTGGTGGATCACTGTTCAAAGGCCAGGTGAGAGTGGAGGTTTCTGCTCAGGTGCCAGTGAGAATAAATATGATCCAGACACACACACAGACCAGAGACTGTGAAAGACCCCTCAAAAGCTAAGACAATCTAAAGGTGAATTAAACCCAGAATTGACAGAGAAGAAAGGAAACATCTGGGCATGAATGTTAGATTTGGTGGAATACCTTATGAATAAGAGTTGAGCCATTAATACCTTGTGTCCGGAGTGCAGAAGATCCCTTAAGTTCCACAGGTCTCGTTCTCCTGGGCCAGCTTTCGCCACAGGCTTCCACACGGCCACTGCTGGCAACTGGGTTCACTACTTCCCAGGGAGTCTCTTTTTTTAAGTTCATGGAAGTCCCATGGAAGGACCCTGTTTGACTTGGCTTAGATCACATGTCCATTCTGAACTAGTCGCTGAGACCAGGCGGGGGTGTGTGTGTGTGTGTGTGTGTGTGTGTGTGTGTGTGTGTGTTCAAGATGTCAACTTTCATTCAAACCATGTGGCAGAAAGGACATACTTATTTTTATATTCTGAAATCAATGTTTGAGACTTACCTTTCAATACATAAGCATTATCTATTTCATTTTCTTTGGGGATGATGTCAAATTTCCAGGTGGGGAGGTGCCAGTAGGCTCCAACATTTTTATAAATCCAGGGTCAAAACTCTGTCCACATTCAATCACATTGTGATCCTTTTGGATAACAGGGCAATAAATTCCACATTTCTAATCTTAGCAGAAATAAAGGCTGCTTTCACATGGATTCACACCACTCTGTTCTCTGAGCTTAGGTTCAGGCCAGAAAGATCCTGAAGCCTCTCCTTTCCTCTTCTGAGACTGGTAGGAGTTGAATTGTACCCCTGTCTTCACTGTGCATGATATAATTTCACGTAGAACTCTTCCTATGGCCTCAGTTTCCAGGGATATTTGGCATCCTAAAGCACATTCCCCTTCTGAATTATCTTCGGGGTTTAGGTCCTAGGTATTTCATAACCAATGAAGAGATAGAAACAGCTGGCAGCCAAAATAATAATAATGAAAAAAAAGGGAATTGATATTTATTAAGTACCTCCCATGTCCCAAGCAATGGCTAACCTTCGTGTGTATAGTATCTCATGAAAACCCAATAACAGCCTTAAGAAGTTGGTATTATTATCCTCACATTTGGATGAGGAAACAGGCTCAGAGAGGTTAAATTAGTTGCTCCAAGTCAGAGAACTAAGGAGAAGTAGAGCTGGGATCAGTTATTAAGTGTGTATAACTCCTATCTACCAGGGTAGCATTGGACATACTTGAGTTTCTTTCTTTCCTATATTTTACAGTTTGTATAAGACATTAAAAGGAAAATTGTGTAAAAACACTTCCTCATGTTGTTTTCTATAACTTGAAGTGGTTGAGATCATAGGGTTCATAGATGATCACGTTTTTCACTTGCAACTATATCAATGAACTTTCCACATCTTCTTAATTATTGTTGTTGTTATGTGATATTTTAACGAGTTATGATATACCATAACATCCTCTACTACCTTGCTGTCATGAAGATCTCTGTTGAAAAGCTTTTTTTTTTCTTCTGTTAATTATTTCCTTAAAGTGAATCTGCAGGAGTGGGGTGACTGGGTTAAGGCAAATGAACATTTTTATGGTTCTTGACTTTCATTGCCAGAGGGGTTGTATCAATTTACAAGGACAAGGCAGTCCATTTTATCAGAGTCTGTGTTTAAAGCTACTTAAAAGAAACAAAATTCTATATGGAGCGGGAGGTCCTGATAACGGGTAAATCATGATCAACAGCCAAAAAGGCCTTGGAGGAGCAGCCAGCCCTGGGAGCCTGATGCTAAGGGGTCTAAGAACTCAAAATATGGATGGTAATCATAACAACAACAACAACAACAACAAAAAGGTTGAATAATACTCCTCTACATATTTTCCATGTTTTCTTAGTGGGTTCCTGTTTGATTTTGAAATATATGTTTGATTAATTGATCAATTAAGTTGCTTTATTAAAGTATTCAGTGTTATCTCTATACTGAAGATAAAGATATAAAGTATTCAGTATCTCTATAATGAATGACCTCATTTTTTCTATTTTTACTTCTTTATTTCCCCCAGCTTTATTGAGGTATAATTGACAAATGCAATTGTAATATATTTATATTGATGATTTGGTATATGTATGCAAATGTATCCAAAAAACCCAGAATTTATTTATAAAAATTGTGCATTTATTCTTACAGGTTTAAACTTCAGTCCCCTTCAAAGGACTCTCCATTTGATGCAATACACCTATCGAGACGTTTTTTCCCCTGCTCAAAACAGTTTTTCAACTCCTGGATTTTGATGCCTTTTAGGGCTTCTGCTCTTTTTTGTTTTACCTCTTCTACATCTGCAAAACATTTCCCTTTGAGGACTTTTTTTCATGGGGAAACAAAAACAAGTTGGTTTGGGCAAGATCGGATGATAGGGAGGGTGGAGCACTGGTGTCATGCCCTTCTGGGTCAGAAACTGCTGAACACTCAGCGCAGTGTGGGCAGGTGTGCTCATAAATCACCCATCATGAAATGGGCAAATGCGTTGAAAGAGCCTTCAAAAAAAAATTCACTGAAGCCAAAGGCAGCCTCTCACAACAACGCCAGCTGGTGCACTGACACAGATGGGTTCCTAGAGCACTCACCCATTGTGGGAAGCCTGTACTACAGGAGGCCTGCCCTCCAAAAGATAATTCCAGTTTTGTGGGGGTCCTCCTTCCAAATGGATTCCTATGCATTTTGGGAATACATAGGAAAAGGATTCCCACCATTGAGTTAACACATACTTACTGTTTTTTTGGTGTGAACACTTAGGTTCTACTCTCATAGCAAATTTTAATTATACAATACAGTGTTATGAACTATAGTCACCATGTTATACATTAGATCTTCAGACCTTATTCATCTTACAACTGAAAGTTTTATTAACCTCTCCCAGCCCCCAGAAATTATCGTTCTCCTCTCTATGAGTCTGACTTACTTAGATTGCACAAATAATTCAATCCATGCTTATTTCTCTGGCTTATTTAACTTAGCATAATATCACCCCTCCCCCCATGAGCTTTATCCAAGTTGTTGTAAAAGGCAGGATTTCCCTTTTCTAAAGGTTGAATAATATTCCTATACATATTTTCTTATCCTTTCATCTGTCAATGGACATTTAGGTTGTTTCCATACCTTGGCTAAGTGTGACTAATGCTTTGAACACAGGGGTGCAGAAATATCTTTGAGATAATGATTTCATTTCTTTAGGATATATACCCAGAAGTAGGATTGCTGGGTCATATCTATTTCTGCTTCTGACACTCAAAAACGGACAAACTGGCTTTATTAATAGTAACAGCAGTAGCTACGATTTATTACATATTTATGGTATGTCAGGCACTGTGCTATATACTTAATATGTATTACTTCATTTCTTCTAAAAATAACCACTAAGGTGCTGTTGCTACCAGCATTTTACAAAGAAACCATACCAGACCATGAGTTTCCCTGAGGGCAGGGATATTTGTTTTGCTCATTGACGTATCCCAAGAGCTTAGAAGAGAACATAGTAGGTGCTCAGTAAATACTGTTGTCTGAATGAGGCTCCCAGAGCATAAGAAACTTCTTCAGGCTGATGGGTAACACTGCTGGGATTCAAACCCAGGACACACCAGGCCCTGGTTCCTCACCCCTCTGCTATGCTGCCTCTTACCAGGGACAGGCAGATACCCCTAGTCCGGCCACTCACCTGACTCCAGCTCCCTGCAAACCACTCCACCTTGCCTGCGCAGGGCCCATTGTCACACGGGGTGGCCTCTGCTGGCCGGTTGTTCCCACAGCCCTCCAGCGGCAGGCTGCTGACGTGGTGGGTCATGCAGACCACTGAGCGCGTCCGCACTCCTGCCCCGCACTCTGCCGAGCACTGCGAGACAGAAGACGGGCATGTTAGAGGGGAGGTCTCCCCCTCACCAGGTTCTGAAGCCACTTTCAAATGGTGCAAAGGAGGACTGAACACCTTGTTTCCCCACCAACTCTTTCCCCTAGAAATCTCTGACCACCTCTATGCATAGCCCAGTCCATCATGAGACATCAGTCTGGCATATACCTCAGCCTTAGATTTTCTGGGACTGCCTGCGTTCCCGATATCCTGTCTCATTGTTGAGATTAATGTGCTTACATTTGCCAGGCCATCTGTCTTGGCTCTTGCTTTCAAAAATAAATCCATCAGAAGAATGAGAACGTGAAAATGCGGGCACACGTCTGCTTGCTGGTAGTGAGTCTGGGCTGGTCTGGGAAGCAGGGAAACTGGTGTCTGTCACTCGCTGTTGCTGCCTAATATTAAAGCACAGGGTTCCAGTCCCTGAAGTCCACAGCTGTGACAGTAGATCGTGAGGCAACCTGGTATAAAGGGAGAGCCTGGCCTGGGAATGAGCATATTAGTGTTAACATCCCCACCAGCTGTGTGGCCTGGGGCAGGTGACCCAGATCCTCTCCCTTGTGGCAAGTTTACCTGACCCTCACTGCTGGCTTGGGAACACGTTCCTGCCAGGATTACAGGGAATCAATGGCATGTAGAGAGCAGGTATTCAACGAGTGCATACAGCAGGTACTCAATAATGCTATGAAGGGCTTTAAAGGATCAAGACCTACATATGTGCTCTAAGATAGAGAAACCGAGGCTCACAGGATTAAGCCTTCACTTAGAGCCCCATGACTGGTAGCGATACCTCCCACTGTCCTTACTGGGGACACAGCAGACACTTCCCTGAGTCACACCCCACAGTTCCATGAGCACTTCCCGTCTGTCTCAAAACACTTTGGAATGCTGCCTTATTTTCAGGACATCTTCATGAGGGCGCTCCGCAGACACCTCAGGTCCAATGGGTAAAACGACGGGACGCCACCCTCACCGCCATTCCCCTTGTTCCTCTGGATTTCCCAGTGTGTGTTCATGTAACGGGGCACAGCCAGGCCCCCCCCCCCCCGAACCAAAGTGTCTTTGTAATGGGATCCAGAGATTGGGGTGTCCAAGAAAAATATATTCCTCACCCCAGGGGATGGGAGCCTTGAGCAGGGCCATTGAGAAGTCAGTTTGCATGTCAATAACAGGATAGCTTCGTTCCTCAGTTTGCAAAGAGGATTATTTTGCATATCACCAAAGCTAATCAGGAAAGTTTAAAAGACTTAATACAGAATGTAACTGAGAAGGAAGAGAGACAGGCCTGCAGGAGAGAAAAAGGGACGCAGACTCTGGGGAACAGTGTGAAAACCGTGCGGGAAGAAAGAAGGGAGAAAGGACTCTTGCTGTTGGGCCAGGAGAAGGTGCCACCTGGTTATGGATTAAGAGCTGGAGATCGCGGCGACGCAGTAGATGGTGCTGAGACCTGCGAGAGGCCTGCCTCGCCGAGCCCCGGACTTCTGTTCTTTTTCTTCTGAAGGACGGTACCCCCGACTGGCCTGACTGGCCTGACTGGGCAAAGGGGGAAAGGCAGGACGGTGTGTGTGCTGGTGGTTGTTTCAACGGGATTTTGAGGTTTAAGGGTGACATTTAGCCATTAATCAAACCTGTATAACTTTTGAATAAATAGTTCCTTTCCTTTTCACCAAACTGCCATTCAGAGCCATAATTCCATGGGCGGCGGGCAAAGGACCCACAACCGAGGGGTCCCGGGGAAGGACGGTGTCATTTTTTCGGTAATAGCATCTGGGAATCCTCCCCCCAACCCACGGGTCCTTTTGTTCGGTAACATTCAAATGTATCTGAATTCCGCACCGACAGCCCTTCTGCCTTCTGGTTTCTCACATTCCGCCAGCTAGCAGGTCCTGCAGATTCTAGTGTAAGCACATTTGTCCATCTGGTCCCTTTGCCCGTGTTCCCGGCACGGCTGACGTTCTTCCCCTGCACTGTGGCAGCAGTTTCTCCCTCAGCATCTCCAGCTCTTGTAGTCGCTGGGCTTTCAGGCCTGGGATAGCAACGCTGAAGTCTCTCTGGTGCTACTCCATTTCCACTGACATTCACTAAGGGACTTCGACAATGGCATTAAAGGTTTCCTAAAATACGGCCCAGTCAACCCATTCTTTCAGACTAATTCCCTATTATACACCAGAACACGCTAGCTCTCTTGATAGAAGTTTCCACACTGCCATCTCATGAACAAAAAAAATCATCAGGGCTGAACGGTTTGATATAATACGCGAAAACCACTGGCTACCCTGGACAGAGCCAAGGTTCACTATTCCCTGGTCACATGAAATGCTCCCATGCCTCCTCCCTGATGTTCCTTCTGCCCTTCCCCAGGATGCCCCAAAGCTGTTTGGATTCAGCTCGAATGCCATCTCCTCTGTGAAAACTTTCTTGATGCCCAATTCATCTCATCCTCAGAATTCTCATGACATCTGTATTCTGCAGTTGGCTTTTGTACTATGGTTATTTGTGTCATGTCTATTTTCTCTTTTTTTTCATTAAAGATGTAGGCTCAGTGTGGGCAGAGACTGTTACATCCCTTTTGATTCATTCTCAGTCAGCACCTCATCTATGAGGCTATTCTCTGAATATCAGCTGAATAAATAAATACGAACTTCGGCTCTCCCTCGTTCCTTTCTCTTCTTTTATCAGCAGCGTTCAGTTCTGGACGTGCCTGTGTGTGATGACTGAAGGGTTTCTAGGGGCTTCTGTTGGGACTTCTTTTAAAAACAGAGTTGACAGAGTTGTTTGGTTTCTACCAACATTATCATTTTTAAAAGTAAATAAATGCAATATAATTTTAAATAAAATTTGGAAAAAGGAAAAACACTAACAACCTTGTTTCCTTATCAAAATTTCTACTTCTGTTTTTGTAACTTGCTGCCTAATCTTGTAAAATCACAGCCCAGGAAGAGGAATCAGACACGGACACGACCACCCACGGCTGGGCCGGGCCCGACGCCTCAGGGAGGGGACTCTGGGGAGCAAAGAGCTGGGCAGCGGTAAGAACAGGCCCCCAGCGGCGCTGCTTTGGCATATTAATTATTTTAAGCTGAAGACAATTAAGAAACAGCAGATTCTGGACGAGCTCTCTGCCCTCCTTTCCTGCCTAAAAGCAGGGCGTACGTGTCCTATGAGAAAGGTGCCTCCCAGTTCCAGGAAGAAGAGAACATTCTCATCGGTGATGGGGAATCAACATGATTTTGCACAAACTTTACTAAAATAACCCTTATCTCCGTTCGTTTTCCCCATATACATCTTAGCCGCTTTCCTACAGCTTTTACTGCCCCTCGCAGCCCAAACCCCTTTCCTTGGTCTGGTCACTTCGTAGTTTATCACCCTTTGTTAAAATGGTATATAAATCCCTCAAGTCTAACTGCTTCTTTGGGGCTTTCATTTCTTTCCTATGATGTTTGCCCTGCCCCCAAGGATGCCATGTAAAATAGAGAAACATCAAATAGAATTTGTAAGCTTTTCTCCTGTAGTCACATTGACTACAAAAAGCTTACAAATTCAGAGTAAATATGACTCTGATTATGGTCAGTTTAATCTGCAGGCCTCTATTACAGAACCTAAGAGAGTAAAGGAAAAAAGTTTTTTCTGTATTATAGGCTCCCAAATGTTTCACAACTTTGGTTTTGTCTGCATTGTTATCAGAAATCTGCTTTCTGAACCTAGTACTGTACATGCACTTTGGGAGAGTTTCCCCATATCCCTCTGTGCTTAATTTAAAATTAAAATGTTTAGGGGCACATTGGTTGGTGCCCAGGCAGAGAACATCATAAGGATGAGCCCCCAGAGGCTGCAGTGGAAAGCACGACACATTTCCATTTAAAAGGAGCTCCTCACACAGGACCTGGCCCGGGAAGCCTGTCAGAGAAGGGGTCCCTATAGGCAGCAGAGCCTAATCTTCAGAGCAAGGCACCAAAACACACCCATTCACTGTCCCCCAAGGACGTGCTCCAAAGAAGGACCAAGTCCACTTCAGCAAAGAACCTGCTTCCTGAAAGAGCTTCAGGCCAGGTAAAACAAAGAGACACAGGAAGTTCCTGAGCAACCCTCTGGTGAGGATTGCCTCCTTGCGGCAGCAGCCCGTAAACACTAAATGCGGCCGACTCGCCCCCGGGGACTAAAGGGCCCTAATGACTGTGCCTGAACTTCAACTTTATGCATCATCTTCCGTAATTTAAATAACTCAATATCTTTACTTATTTTTTCTCTTGCAAAACATCCTTAGAATTTAGGTGTTACAGAATTGAGCCTGGTGGATTTCCTAAAAGTTGGTTTTTTCTGCTGTGATTAAAAATTGCATGAGTGTTTAAACCTGCCATTGATTTGCAGAACTAAAAAAGAAATGATGCCTATGTCTGGTAAGGCCCACCCTCGATTAAATGTAGCTGCAAGGATGTTTTTAAGGTGAATCATCAAGTCAGAAGAACTATACCTATAACCCTAGAAGTTTAAGAGAAAATTCAGATTAACTTTAAAACCTCAGTTCATTTAGGCAGAGATCAATTAATTTTAAATTGGGCAACAGGATACTCTTAGTATTCTGGGGCCAATTTCAATGTTTGTGTTGGGGCGGGGAGTCCCCACACCAACAAGAAGTTCTCAGGTCACCAGCTGGGTGTCCTACAATTCAACTCAATTCTGACCCAGCTGACCTGAAGGCAGCGTCAGATTCCACAGGTTAAAGACCCAGTCCTACTGGAGTGTCCCCACCTGCACTTCAGCAGCCAATTCCAAGCCCAGGTCATTCCTGTACTTCTGACCAACTGGCTACATATCTGAGGTTCCTAAGACACCCTTCTCAGTTCAATGGCTTTGTTAGAGCAGCTCATAGAAATCAGAGAAAAATTTTACCAGTTTATAATGAAGGGATATAATCCAGAAACAGCCAGATAGAAGAGATGCATGTGGGAAGGAATGGGGGAAGGGGCGCCGAGCTTCCAGGGTTATCACTCCCCTCCTCCTCTGTTTTCACTAACCGGGAGGATCTCCGAACAAAGTCATTTTGGGTTTGATGGAGGCTTCGTTACGGAGGAATGGTTGATTAAATTAAAGACCAGTGATTGATTCAGCCTCCAGGTCCCAGCCCTGCCCTGTAGGTCTAAGGGCGGGACTGAAAATTCCAACCCTCTAAGCACACCCTCGGCATCTTTGGGAACGAATCCCTATCCTTAAGTCATCTCATTAACATAACAGAACACACGTTTATCACCTTTAGCGCTACCGAAATTCCAAGGGCTTGGGGAGCTGTGGGCCAGGAACTGTGGATCATCTCAATGACCGCATTTATATTTCTTGTAAATCATAATATTGCAGATACATTTTAGATCCTTAAGTGTTTGTAAACTTTAATCTCATTTTTTCTCTTCTCTCCCACTTGAGCTCCTTAAATGAAGGCTGTGTCTCTTTCATGCCTAGTTTATAATAGGTACTCAATACATGTTTATGCTAAAAACTGCATAGTTCAGACTAAAGCTTAACAAGGCTGATTTTTATACACAGCCACTATTCACATGTGGACTGCCATCGCCTGGTTACTCCTGGGCACTGAACCTTTCCTAAGGCCAGCTGGTGGCTGGGAGGCCCAGTGTCAACTGCGAAGCCAAACAACGGAGCAGCCCACCGGGAACCCTCCCGAGGGTGCCAGTCTCATCTGGGCCGTGGTTTCGAATGTTATCCCTTAATGCTCACTCAGCAGTGTTACGGATGAGAAGCTGAGGGTCGGAGAGCCAACAGCTCACTCAAGGTCTAGTAAGAAATAAGTCCTTGGGAAAAGGGTGCCAAAGGCAATTCACCTTCCTTAAACCCGATAGCATCCCTTCTCATTCACCTGCTCCAAAATAATCATGAACATTCAGGAATAATCATCTATTCTGGGGGTAGATAAAGCAAAATTACTTACATTATAGCATTGAAATTACATGGCTTAAAATATGTTTTCCAAAAAATTCTCTAAATGGAAGGATAAAAGTGCTCATTTTTTGCTGTATTTGGAATTTTAAGACAAGGGTTAGATCCAGGAAATACTTATGTTAGAATACAAAGCAAAGAATCTTTATTGAGTGGGGAACTAACTAGCGTGGAATTCCTTATAAATTATTTGTACAGCTTTACTGTCCTAAATAAATGTGGGAGATGCACAGGGGAACAAAGCATTGCTTTTTTTTTTTTTTTTTTTTTTAAAAACATATAGCTGCTTTTTCCTTTGTACACAGGGCATTCTGAGCCCAATGCCTTTTTTCAGTGTGGCAAATGTAAAGAGATGGAACTAAGAAGCAGTTAAGAATCAGTGTAATAAAAGGATTATAAAAGTGATCTCAGTTGCTTTTGGGGAGACTAAGCTGAAATAATCTTTCTGGAGAGAAATTTGCCAGAATGTGTCAAGAGTTCTAAAAGGGTTCATAGCATTTGGTCAAATGATTTTACTTCCTAAACATTATTTTAGGGAAACAAGTGTTAGGGCAGAATGAGTGGCCAGAGGGGAAATAAAGGAAGGGCCCTCACCATTGCAGTCTAACGAAGAACTTAATATTGGAGGCGAGAAGCAATGCCTCACCTGTTAACCCAACAGTCCTGAGCCTGGTTTGATAAGGCTGCCAGGCATTCTGAACAACATAAGCAAAACAATGATGGTGCAGGAGCAGGGGAGCCCTTGAAAGTCTGTGTGTACCATCCCCACCAGCCAGGAGAAGGAAAGCCTGGGGACTGCATATTCATCCCAAGGCCCGGGAGGGGGAAGGGGGTGGTCCACAGCGCCCAGAGGAAAATCCCATAAGACAACTTTGGTTAACTGCCTGCCTCCCGTCACATATACAAAGTGAACAAAGAGAGTCTGGAATGAGATAAGGAATGGGGCTAACGGACCCCCATACCTGTGTTTCGGGAGTCACATCTGCCCCCGGGAAAGATGGCACCAACGTCACTCATCAGTCGGTATGTAACTTCTTCACCCCCACCCCACCAACTACATAAGTCCTCAGAAAAAAGGACGCACTCTCTTTTTGGCCACCTGGCTTCTAGCCACCTGACCTCCGGCCAGCCCTGCTCTAGCCATCCTTGCTTTTGCTTTCCTGTTAGAACTTGGCACTAATAAACTTTGCCTGCATGCTGGTGGGCTCGCTGATGTGTCATTCTTTATTGCATTGGCAAGAAAAACCAAGTTTCTGGGAGTTTCTCCCATCCTACAAGGAAAGGTACATATAAAGATTTATGGATAAGAATATTTAAGAAATATTATTTAAAATAATAAAAAATTAGAAAAAATGCCCCTCAACATTTAGAAATAGGGTATTGGTTCAATTATAATAGTCATACAATAACTTTTTCTAATTAGAAATCATGCTTTAAAGGTTTTAATCCCATTAAAATGTTTATAATACATAAGAGAAAAAATCAGGTTAAATTGATCATATATTATGATTTATATTCTTAAAATATACATAAATGCAAAACACTATGTATGGCAAGTATGTATGAGTGAAAAAAGCTGGCAGTGTAGCTTAAAAATCTTAAATTTTTATCTTCTAGAGAAGAGATTATAGGTATACTTTTGTATTCTTTTCACATTCTTTATAATAGTGTATATTACTGTATGAGCAGGAAAATGAAACTATTTTAAAAAACATCTTTCCAGTGTAAGAGGGAAAGCCAGCATTGTTTTTATCCATTTACTTATACACTAAATTTGGCAAGTTTACTATGAATACAAATTCTGGTTAGAAATCCAGAAAGACAAAGAATCAGTTGAAGGAACTGGGAATTCTTAACCTGAAGAGGAAGGGAAGGGGCTCCCCGCACCTGAGGGTGTGCAGTGTGAGCAGCGCGCACGCATTTCCTGCGGCACAGGCTGCGAGCTGGCAGGAAAGACTTTAGTTCGATGTGAAAACCTGACGCTGTAGCTGTACAAGAAATAGACGTCATTGACTTGATTTCTTGTACACAGGGAATTTCTGACAAATGGCTCAGACATATGTCAAGGTCACTTCTGGGGAGTCCTTGTGCTGTCAGGGAGGCTGCCCAGGTGGCCTCTGACACTCCTTCCTGCACCACTTCTGCAAGGCCAGGAGCTCTGTCCTTGCTAGGAGGCTGGGGAAGGGGTGATACACAGACAGAACTGGGTGAGCTCTGCCGCGCTCAGCTTTAGGGCCAGGAGCCTGAATCCATGGACACCTTTAGATCACCGCCCACTTTCCCTTTGTTTCCCTTTGGCTAGCACCTTCCTGATGGCTAATTTGGAGCCTGGCACAGTCCACTCCTGGGATTGGAGGCAGAGGAGCTGCTCATCCTAAGAGTTCTGTGCTTTTGCCAAAGGCTCCCTCTCAGGACTGCCTCTGGGCTAAGGGGCAGGGACTGCTTGCCACAAGGTGCCAGGAAACCACAAGGAGATACATCACTTGGCGGGAATCTCCAGGAGGATCTCTGAATGCGGACTGAAGGCTGCATTGGCAGCTGTGTGTTCTTCCCTTCTTTCCCAATAACACTCCCACTGATGTGGGTTATCGCTGTAATGAGAGGGAGGCAATGCAGGAAACCCACGTGAACACTCCAGGGTGATGCTAGGATACTCAACAACTGGTCCATCGTGGGCACTGACCAGCCAGAATGGATGCTGGCCAGTCGGAATCAAGCAACAGGGTAGGTGCGCCCCTCTCCGCTGACGTGTAAAGTCGACTCCTCCAAGCTTGAGATAGCCCACTGTTTGTTGTTCACAGGGCACTGGGAGGAGAGAGCTTGGGAGCTTAGTAATGCCCCCTAAGATGCTATGAACATGGCTGGTTTTCTCCATCCCTGGACCAGCAACCTTGGCACCACTGGGAGCCCCTTAGAAATGATCCGGGCTGTCCCCATACCCGCTGGCTCAGATCCTGTGCTGTGATAAGGTACCCGGGCATCTGTAGGCATGTAATACATGCAGTTAGGAAGCACCATGGAGACTCCTGTAATAGTTCATCTCTGGGCCTTTTCCCCAAAGTCAGAAATCACCCTTGGGATTCTTAGCTAGTAATTGATCTTTGTGTAGTTTCGGGGCACCTTGTAACACATAGTTCCCAGCAGACCTTGGTCGCTGGCTCAAGCAAATGTACTCAGCTGCCATCACACTCACCCTTTCACTCCACTCAGTTAGGAACCAACTCTTCGCACAGGGTCCCATGTCACAGTTCTCAATGTCATTCGGCCGGAGCTTCATGTTGCATTCCTCGTCATCAACCACATCTCCGATGTTGCTCACACACTTCACGTCTCGGGTCCTCTGCCCCACTCCACAGGGCACCGAGCACTAGAACACAGCAAGCTTACGTGAGGGTGGGAAGCGTTAGCTTTGGGCAACTCTCCAGTTACGGTGCCCTCATTCTTGCTACCTGCCACCTAAAGAGAGGCCTGCAGAGACTCCCTGGGTTGCTATGTTCCCTTCAAAGTGCTTCTATCTGCGGAGGACCCCAGTCCTGAAAATTTCACAACCCTTTTCCCTAAGGCCTTCTTTGACATCTTGCCTCCTTTGCTCATCTGAGCCTCAGCCTGTCATCTGTAAAACTGGAGAGAAGGCTGGGAGGAATTGGCTCTACCAGCATTTGCCAACCTTTCACTCCACAATGACTCAAGAGAGACGAGACCTTACGCACATGGCTTCCATGGGCTCCCAGTCATAGTCGGCTGTGGTGCATGCTAGCTTTAACTTTATCAAGCTATTGGTATGTGTCACGGTTTACAAAAGCAGCATCCAGAAGCCCACAAGATAGGTTCCCTCCTGGAGAACTCAGGATGCTCCCAAGTCAGGTCATGGTTGGGGGAGGTGGGAGGGTGGTGGTAGGTCTTGGAGAGGAGTTTCAGAGCAGGCCCCTACTCCCCACCCCGCGTACCGAGGTCCAGTCCGTGCGGATCTGCCACTCGCTGCAGATCTTGAGCTGGCAGGTGCTTGTGGTCTCGGGCTTCTCCAGGTGCTGGCAGCGGTAGGGCTGCACAGTCAGGCTGCGGTTGGCGTACACCTGGCGGCACAGAACCTGGCGATGCTGCATGCCCAGGCCGCAGGTTTTGCTGCACTCTGACCACTCTCCGATGTCCCAGCTGGCTCAGGAAGGAGAGAGTGACAGGGACAGATCACTTCAGTCAACAGGAAGAGGGCAGGAGCTCAGGTGACTTACATAGAACCATCAGAATCCTCGCAGGTGACCCTTCTCCCAGGGCATTGCTTACGTCTGCCTAAGGGCCACTGGACTCTGGAAAGAAATTAACTTTGCTCGACATGCTATTTGCCAGTGAATCTATATAATTTAAGAAAATTGAGCAGGTACAAATAATTTTTACCTAGTAAAAAAACCCATAAACCTCTAAAGCCTTGTTTCACTATCCTGTAGAAAATCTTAACCCACTTTAGAACTAACTTAGAAATCTTAGTCCAGCATTTGTTATCATTATTATTATTTTAGATTTTATATAATCTTGGATTTATTGATCTCATGGTTCTGGACATTAAGGGACATTTTTGTGTTTTGAGTCATAACCTTTGAGCCAACAAGTTGAGAGGCCCTTGATCAGAGGGGACTTTCTACTTTTGAGTAGCCTGACAGGGACACATCCCCATAGAGGCCTGGGGGATGGGTGGGCGGCATAGCTGTGGGTCCGTGGGAGGCCTGCATCTGCATACATGGATCTTCCATTTACTCTGACCAGAGTTCTTTATTTTTCACTGTTTATACATCAGTTTCATGTTTCCTCCTCTGTTATCTTGCTCTGTTATTTCGTTAAGAGGTCAGCACATGTGTGTCACGTGTTTGGAGGAGAATTATGCTTTTATTACTTTGAGAGTTGAGTTTTGACCCCATTTAGGGCCCTTTCACCCTGTTCTTCTGCAAGTGTCCTATTTATCATTCAATCAGCAGTCCAAGGCCTCTCCCGAGATGCTCTTCCTGGCTTCTCCAGGCAAATGTGGTGTGACTTTCATTATTCTCTCTTTGCACACAGCTCTCCTAACCACACTGACTATAACGGATTGTATTGGGTTGGCCAAAAAACCTGTATGATTTTCTCCATAAAATAAAAAAACACACTTTTTCTTTTTACAAATAACTATTTATTTGGATATTTTGAGTATAACGTTGGTATAATTTTTTTTTTTAAGTTTTAGAGGGGAAGGGAGGGAAACAGGGAGAGAAACATCAATGTGTGGTTGCCTTTTGTGCGTCCCCTGTTGGGGACCTGGCCCACAACCCAGGCATGTGCCCTGACTGGGAATCGAACCATCGACCATTTGGTTTGCAGGCTGGCACTCAATCCACTGTGCCACTCTAGCTAGGGCCATTGGTATAATGTTGATTGTTCTCAATTAATGTCTGGATTTGATTGCTATCAAATTCAACTGGTATACCCCGCCGTGGAGCAATGTCCAGTGAGAAATCTCTAGCACAAAACTTCACAAGCCACTTTTGACAGAGTTGATCAGTCACAGTGCCTTCTCTATACACTGCCCAACTCTTTTTTGGCATGTGTTTTTCAGCTACATTTTTACTTTTCTTGAAATAATAAAGTATAATATGCTGAAAATGTTGCACATTTTGTTCCATCTTCATATTAAAATGGCTACACAAAAATTCACCAATTTTGATTTTTTTTTTTTTTTTTTTAATGCAAGCTGATATGACAGCTGTCGCCATACAATCTAACAAAATTGTTAGAGCCATCTTACGGAAAAGAACACAAATGGGCTTTTTGGCCAACCCAATAATTCTTTGCTTCCCTAAACATGCTAAACCCCAATCCCTCCGATTTCCCGAAGGGTGGGCTCCCAGGGAGTGGGCTGACCTGCTAAAGGCTCTCAGCTCCTATGTTGATCCTGAAAGACAGGTGCTCTTGCTAAACAGGCTGCAATTTTATGCACAGATCAAGACTCATGTTTCTAAATCAGATTTAGATTGATTTAAAAATGAGATTATATCCCCTACTAAGGTCCTATGCAGAAGCAAGCAGAAGGGGCCCAGTAACGGGCTGGAAACGGAGAGGCTGTCTTACAAGGCCGGGCAGGGGAAGATGTTGCAGGGCTCCTCCTCGGGGGTCGGCTTCATGCTGGAGTCACAGTAGCTCTCAGGAACCTCTTCGTGAGTGTTTCTGTGCACACAGCGAAAAATAGGATACTGCGACCCTGGAAGGACAAGGAGAACGTCTGAAGGACAGTCCCACACCCCCGATTGGTGGTCTGTGGTAGAGACGCACAGACATCCAGAAGCTGATGGAGAGAGGCCACAGAACAGAACAATGCACACACACACCTCCCACACAAGGGCTTTGTTCTGCACTGAGGTGCAGGGAAGAGTAGAATAGTTCTTGCCCTCTTAGAGCTTATAGTTTATTTATGGACATGGTTTAAAAGTGCTCAAAGGCAGATAAAAATCAACTTTCATAACAGTTTAACATATCACTATGCAGGGGAGAGATTATGAAACAAGAATAAACAGTAATTTCTTGAAGGTTTTTCTGGAGACATCGAAGAGACAGGCTCCGAGAGCGCTTGAGCTGCAGCTTACAGAAAGGGTTGGTTGGGAACCTGTGTCTTGAAGGGAGGGGCCATCCAAGTCGCTGAACTGGAACTAAAGTGCCTGACCAACTGGCCTGCAAGTGCCAGATATGTTCATGAGAGCGTTACATTGGAGCAGAGAAATGAAGATTCAAGAAAGGATAGAAGAGAAGCTGGCTTCCACTTTGCAAAGCACTTTACACATTCTCCTAATAAAGTACGGATCCAGTGGTATTTTTAGTTATTTGAGTACACGTCTATGCCATAAGACAGTGAGCTTCTTAGGTACAGGACTAGTTCTTGTTTATCTATTCATCCCCAGTACCTAGCAGAGTAGTGGGTGCTCAATAAAAGTTTGTTGGATGAATATTTATTAGAGGTCTAATATTTATTTTTATTACTCTGCTAAAAGATATTAACTGTCTTGGGTTTTTGTAATAAAAAACAAAACAAAACAAAAAACAACACAGCCTAGCCTTAGCCAGGTGCCTCAGTTGGTGGGAGTGTCGTCCTGTGCATCAAAACACTGCAGGTCTGATTCCTGGTCAGGGCACATGCCACAGTTGTGGGTTTGATCCCTGGTTTGGGCATGTGTGGGAGGCAACTGATGGATATTTCTCACAATGATGTCTTTTTCTCTCTGTCCCCCTTCCTCTCTCTCTAAAATCAATAAACATAGCTTTGGGTGAGGACTAAAAATAAATGGCCTGGTTTCATTGGCTTAAAATGGATAAACCTATTTTGGAAAAAAGAATTTCTTAAGTGGAATTTCTAGCTCTTAAAACAAGTCAAAAAAATAGCGGAGTCACAATTCTGCCTTTTTTCTTTGCTACCTCCTGGTGGCAGCACTGAAGTATTACTTGTGAACCTTTACAAGGTGAGAAATATAACCGGCTGAACCTGCAAACTAAATGCTGGAAGAGTAAGACGCTCCCTCACAGAGAACTGTCTACCCTCCATTCTGGGCCACTACATAATCCCTGCCCTACAGAACCCTGTCGTTTATCGTGCAGCTCTGTCTTAGCTCTGCTGCTAACTGGCCAGGCATATATAGTTTCTGAATTTCCAACTTTCTACAATTTTAATCATAACTAGAGGAATAACTTTTAATATGTCTCAAATTTTCATCAGCCACAAGCAGTGTATCAATGCTTCTTTAAGCGGATCTTGTGTGACACTGAGTCAGAGGGTAGTTCTTGTAAGAAATTGAACAGTTTGTAAGGCAGTTTTGATCTGAAACACACATTTGCTTAAAGTACTCTGGTCAGTCAGAGAAAGACAAATACCATATGACTTCATTCATATGTGGAATCTAATGAACAGACTGAACTAACAAGCAAAATAGAGACGGGCTGATAGATAGAGAACAGGCTGACAGCGAAGGCAGGGGCGAGTGTAGAGGGCGGAGGGGCTGAGCAGAAAGGAAAAGGGGTTCATGGACGTGGGCAACAGCGTGGGGACTGCAGGGGGAGGGGGCATAAAGAGGACACATGGTAATGGAAAAAATACAATAAAAAATAAAATTAAAAAATAAAGTACTCTGGCAGTAAAAATTTACAATGTAGCTATAACTTGAGACCATTATTTAAAATAACGTGCCAATTAAACATAATTATTAGCAGAGTAAAAAGCAGTACTGACTGTAAAATTAATAGGAAGCAAAACTTTTGTGGAATTAAGTTTTTTGCAGAGACATATCTGCTTCTATTTAAGAAGAGATCTTTAATTAAATTCAACCAACATTAAGCACATTGTTCGGAGTTAAAAGGTGAATAAGATTCAGTTCATGGCTTGCAGGGTACCTGTTTGGGACCCTGCTATTAAGAGATTAAGTAAAAAATCTTATTTTCTTTAGCCTATCCCTTTCTCTTCAGACCAGATGGGTCTAACTTTTCTACTTAGGAGTTTGTGGGTTGGGGAGCAACAGTAACCACCCCAACCATGTGGCATTCCAGTGAGAGGGAAATTTAGTACATTTACCCAAAAAACACAGGTTAACACAGGAGTGCTCTGTCTTGTAAAGATGGGCCCTGCTTGAGGCTGTTTGCACGTGGCCTTGCCCCGCCTCCCCACCCTCCCGCTGCCCTTACGGTGAGCGTGCCTGTCCACACGCCAGCCCCAATGTCTAGCCGAGGAAACAGAGTCAGAGGCCCTCTTTCTCTGATGGTGAGAAAATACCAGATCTATAATTTTTGACTCCAGTGACCACAATGGTTTCTTTCCTTCAGTCAGTTTCGATTACTGCGGAAAGGGAGACACCTGGCCATTTCTTCATTGTTCAAGAACACCATTTAATATTTCTCTAATTGTAAGCAAGCAGGAACAGGGTGGTGGGGGCAGGTGCTGGCTGGGCTCCAGGCAGCGGGAAGAATCCGGGATCAGTTTGGTTGGGTTTCATGTTGGGTGTATTGTTCAAAACAGAAGCACGTTATGTTGGAGCAGGGGACCGTACCACAGGTAGAGGTCAGTGAGGCATCATGGAGAGATGGACAAAATGAGAAGGGAGAAGAAAATAAATAATTTTAGCCTTGTAACTCCAGGAATCAACCAACCAAGCCGAGTTTGACCAGATAGAGGTCGAAGCAACGACTGTATGGAGTACAGTCCCCACCAGCGTGCCGGTGACAGGGCCCTTCTGTGGAGATGATGCCACGATGCCGGAAGCATTGACAGAAAGGGAAGTTCCAACGTGACTGGCAGAGAAATGTGTGGTCTGGTTAGTTTCACCAGGAAAGACCAGAATGGAGTTTGGCGGAGGGTCAGTGTGGGGACAATGACAAGGTCACAGGGAAATGGACCTGAGTTGGGCAGAAAAGAGCTGGACAGAACTGGAAGACTCAGAATTTCTTGTCATAGCATACTTGTCACTGCTGATGACCGTGAGATGAGCTAAATGTTTGGTGCATCCGCATTGCGTCACCTGCCCTGCACTCCAATGGAGGCTTTAGATGCTTGGGAGCGAGCCCAGGAGGGAGGGCCTCTATGGGCTACTGCCATCGGTCACAGGCGAGAAAGATAGGGGACTGGGAGTAGGAGACAATGGAGGGTTAGGGAAATTCTCTCTCTCTCTCTCTCTTGCTGTTGGTAATAAGCAGGTCTCGAATTTAATTTGCAAATAACACATGTCCTCTCTACCTTTTTATTTAGGAGGCTAAAAGCCAAGTCAGCTTGACTTTTGGGCCAGGCTCATGGAGGGGAGGGTTTGCCAAGCCCCTGGGGCCCATCCTGCACATCCCTCACGGGTCTGCAGGGGGCTCTGTGGAGACCCTGCCAGCCCACACACCAGCTCACCTTTCCCACAGGTTGTGGAGCACTCCGTTGTGCCGAGCTGCTTCCAGTTGTGGTCCCGGCTTCGTCGTGGGGGCTGTGGTGCTGATGGCACCACACTGTCTGGCCGGTGGGAAGAATATCTATCCGGATGCCGGACTGGGAAGGTCTGTGCTGATTCCGAGGTGAAAATTTCAGGTGCACCACCGTGCAAGTCCTCCTTCCCCTCAGTCCTCTCCTTCCCTTCTCCCCGCTCCTGGCTCCTCCCCTCTGCGAGCCGCTGGCCCTGGAAGGGCTCCCCTGGGAGAGGCCGGTGCACACACACGGGTTAAGTGCATTTTGCATGGTGAGTCGTAAAGAGGAAACTGCTTTAACATTAAAAATCAGGTAGCAGGAGATCATTTCTAATTCAGAGCACATATATTTAAAATATGCAGACACTAATTTCCCCAATGTTTAAAACATTATTAAAAACAAATAAGGAAAAGATGAACATCCCAGTAGGAAAAGCAGGCAAGGGCCAGGAAGAGGCAATTCACACAAAAAGGAATACAGGCAGTAAGAGTCTTACAAAAGTGCTCAGCTTCACTCACAACTAAAGAACTGCAGGTAGAAACAAGAGCAACAACCAATCGACTTGCCTAACAATAAGATTAGACACTACGGAAACCCTTAAGTCACTAACTCCCTTGTTGAACATGACGGAAAACAGATTCTCATACACTGTGGGGGAGCCTGCAAGTAAGACACAAATTTTGGAGAGAAATTTGGCAATACCTATCCAAGAACATATTAGTTTAAATACAGTGACAAATTCCAGAGTCACTGTTGAATCCAGTTAAAACATAGGGCTTTCTCTTCCCCTTTACCAGTACTTTCTTATTTAGTTGGCTACCTACAATACTTGGTGGTTTAAAATATTATATGCAAATTAAACCAATAGAGTCAAGACCAGGCATACTGCGACAAGGCCATCCAAGATATTATGAGCTAAAGATATTTAACAATCTTTCGAGTACTTCGCATGCACTGGGTGCTAGGATTGACACCTAACTGATTCACTCCCCTCCCTTCTGCCCCTCTAAAACAAAGCAAAACAGAACAAAATCTTTGAGTATAGTTTTTTTCCCTCTATTTTGTGGACGGGGAATGCGGTCAGAGAAGTTTCTGACTTAACTGAGGAAGCATAACAAGCAAGTGGCAGAGCTGGATCCAGGCTCTGTCCCCCTGACTTCGTTGACATGGGGGACGAATGCCCCTCCTCACCAACTTTTTACAACTGACCCCTCTGGGCCTGCTGTGCCCCAGGCAGCTGACCCCAGAAGCCTGTGCTACCTGTTAGGTGAAACCCATTAGGCTTGTTATCAATCATCATCACCGTGTATCATTTCGAATAGTCTGTGCAATTGCCCCCCCAAATTAGCATCAACCTCAGTATCGCAATAGTTTGCCATCTGGACTTGGCTCTCAGACTGTGTGTTGCTCCTGGAAAGGGCTTAAAAGTTCCGCCGGGCTGGGTACGCTGACTTGAAGCCTGAACAACACGTGCGGCCCGCCTGTCGCACACACACCAGGCCGTTGTCTCCAGGTGGCCGGTGGCTCTTCCCCAGCCTGTGACAATCAGGCAACCTGGTTATCTGATCGGCAGCCCAGAGAAGGATGGATAGGCCAGGTCTCACACCTGCCCCCTCACTTTGTAGGACACACATTGGGCCAGGCAGCCCCTAGGCAGTACAGCAAGCACGGGGCTAGTCACACAGGCGGGTCCCCAGCGACTGTGGGGTGGGGGCAGGAACCTAATTTCTCTAAGCTTCTACTCCCTTACTTTTAAAAGGAAGCTGATAATAGCACTTCTGTCTGAGTGCTGCGGTGAAAATTCAGTGAGCTAGTCTATGGGAAGGGTTTAGCAGTATCCAACACACAGCAAGGACTCAGTGTGAGTGAGCAATTATTATCATTAATGTTTCTGCAGACCTTCTTGTTGGAAAGATAGAATAGACCATCTCCATTTGGGTGGGTTCCATCATCGCTCTGTAAAGAAATACCTGCAAAGCCCGAGTGCTGTGCCACTCCCAGCAGCAGCCCAACCAAAGCTGCCCACTCTGTCCATCAGCAGAGCCCACAGGGAAGAGGTGTATCTCTAGGCATGAAGTCACTATTCTTTTCTGATAGGCCAAAGTCGTGTTCACAGAAGCAAAAGGGGACCGAGGGAAAAGGTGCTGGCAGACTGACTGGTGGCCCTCAGAAGAAGCCTGTGTCCTAATCCCTGGAACCTGAAATATGTCACCTTACATGGCAGATGTGGTGAAGTTGAAGATTTTGAGAGGGAGAGATTACGCTGGATTGTCTGGGTGGCCCAAATTAGGGTCCTTATAAGAAAGAAGCAGGAGGGTGAGAGTCAGGGAAAGAGATGTAGTGCCAGAAGCAGGGGGTCAGAGCCAGCAAAAGATGTGAAGGTGCCGCCCAGCTGGCCTTGAAGATGGAGAAAGGGGCCGTGCACCGCGGAATGTGAGTGGCCTCTGGAAAAAAGGCGAGGAAACAGATTCTCTCCTGCAGCCTCTGGCCCAGTGACTCCGCAGTTTCGGCCCAGAGAACCCATTTTGGACTTCTGACCTTTAGAACTGTAAAAGAGTAAATCTGCATTGTGTTGAGCCACTAAGCTTGAGGAGATGTGTTAGGGCAGCAACAGGAAACTGATACAAGGGCATTTCCACATGAGGAATTGGAAAGAAAGACTCAGGACGTTCAATTCATTTTTGAATCAAGTGAATGAAAAACTCTTATCAGCGAAGGCCCAGACAGATGGTGGAGTTTCCTCTGATACCTGGGCCCTTGACTCTAAGTTCGTGGCCCTGGGTTTTCTCTGCATTGATTGAGACTGAGGGTATCTGCACAAGAAGAAGACAGAGGGGGACTTAAAGGGGAATGAATTGAGGGGTTGGCAGTGAAACAAGGGACTTTACCTGGTCTCCTGTGAGGTGGCACCTGTGGGCTGATGGCATTGGTCCCCATGATAACATACTCGTAGTGGACTCCTGGGTTAGGCTGCTGATGTATCATCTGACAACACAAAAGTCAATGTCACCGCGCTGGCATGCACATCCCTTTCCTCCCAGCTTTGGGTTCAGTGGTATAAGTGGCTCTATCTATAAATCGGTGGGTTAATAATATTGGTAGATCTGTGACAGATTAAACGAAAGTTATTTACAGATTTTTTTCATCATTTGCTTTTTGAAGAATAAACAACTTAAAAGAAAACTAGGCTGAAAGTCAACATTTCAGACATTTTGATTAAGAAGATGGGAGCAGGGGAAGTGGAAGATTTCTGTTGGCTCCAGACCATCCTGTACCATGGCTTAGATTTTGCTTGGCGCTCTCAAAATGTCCAAAGAGATACATGTTTACATTGCAGAGAACCCATGTGAACACTAGGTGGCGAGATAGAGTCGTGCAGAGAAGAGCAGACCTCTGGCAGAGCCCGCCTGTGATCCTTCAGGCTCTTTCAAAGTTTTTCTACCTGGCTGGCTGGGCTGCCTGAGGAAAGCCCTGTCCCAACCCTCTAACTCGCTGACTCTGGGTTCCACCCCTTCTCATCCATAGAAAGCTCCAGACCCACAAAGAGACGTGGTCAGGAAACCAGGTGTAAAGGAACAAACTCTCCCTGGGTCCTACTCTTTCAGGAACGGATGACTGCACGGGGCTGTGAAGTCAGCAATGAAACTCATCTGGGGCAAAAGACAAAGCCAATCATCATGGCTCAGAATAATAAACCCCTCCCGACTGGCTCTGGAGCGCGAAGGCCTGCGGCCTCCCTGGTGGGCAGTGGGGCGATGGGCCCAGTGCAGCAGCAGAGGACGATGGGTAGCAGGGGTGAGAGCCAGGCAAGGAGACGCTGTCGCCTTCTGACATTCCTGTCTGTACTGCTTTACAAAGAGGCTCTCCTGCTGACAGCTGTGTAACTTTGAACAAGTCCCTTAATCGCAGTTTCTTATTTCTGCATCTGGAGAAGAGGAAAGTTAGAATCACAGCGGGTCTCTTAAGCCCTTTTAGCCTCAAGGATCTCTGAGGGACTCCTGCATGGGTGGGACCTGTTCGGTCCCCAACTACGTCTATCACGTCCACTTATGCATCATCTCTTACCTCTTTCCTGCATGTGCAATGGGCCTGTGTTCTATAAATCACCCAACGGAAGGAAGGCTGACATGAGAACCACGGGCTTCTTACCATCAGTAACAACGGTGCTGAGCACAGAACCCCGAAACACAGTGGTGTGACCTCAGGTTCCCGCTATCTGCCCCGTATACCCTCTCTTCTCCTTTCACACAGTTCAACAATCGGTCTGAGTTTGGGAACCCTCTCACCCTCTTCCGTGCCTCTTCTGCGTGAGCATTCTGCTAGTACAAACCTTGTCCCATTTAGAAAATTATTGTTGGCCACCACATCCTAGACCACCTACAGTGGGTCTTTAACAATCTCGGTTTTTTATCCCTGATGCCATTTGAAACCTACCCAGAGTCCAACAACCCGGTGGACAGTGTAAAAATAATATTCAAAATTAACTATAATAAGGCTCTCTTTATAGCTTCTAGTCCACAAACCACTAGGCCTAAGAGGAACAACCATGAAACTGTATAGTTGAAGAACTAATATTTATAAAACTCTGACACAGCACACATCACGTGCTGGCTTTGGAGGTGGTAAGAGAATGCATATCTATGAGTCAGCTCATTCCTTTTTATCATAAAAACCCAATTTCAAGCTTTGATTTCTTGTCACCTTTTATTTCCTGATGTTTTTAAGAAGACTGGATTCTAGTGGTTTCTTTGAAAAACAAGGACTGTTTTTAACTCCATGTAACTCAATAATTTAGTTTCTTGTTAAATAAGTGGAAGCTCTGTCTTCTGGGAGGCAGGGACCGTCTAGTCACCCTCTGCATTGTTCCTTGGGAGCTTTATTGGGTCATCTGGAGTTCTCTGCAGTTCTCCTGTCTTCATTCGCTTTAATAGAATTTGAAGAGGGCTGGGAACTGCTAGCGGTCTTGTCTTGCTTTAGGCATTTGCTTTCTTTTGCCATGAAAAGAAAACATGCCAAATTAGCATTAGGAGGAAAGTGCCTGGAGGAGATCCAATGCTCATGAAATAAAGGATATGTTTTGACTCTGATTTGGTTCAACAAGTAAAATTGGTTTTACTGGGTCAATAAACTCTGAGGGTTCTAAGCATCTGGTAAAGTTTAAGGTTTCTGTGAGTTCGGCACATTCAGGGTGAGTGGTGAAGATGAGGCTGAGCTTTAAGGGCACCTCCAAAGACTCCGCTCTCTGCTCAGATGGCCTTATTAGCAGGGGCAATGGTTTGTTGCTTATTTGTTCTAAGTGTGGCCCGTCAAAGTATCAAGATATAAAATCCAGAGAACAGCCCAGAAACATCGAAACTCACATAGACATCCAAAATCTCATTAGTGGGACCTTCGGCCAGAAAGGACTCTCCTGCAGTGCTCGAAATCTCATTCGGACGCTTGTAGGTGAACATGGTCCCTCCGCCCTCATATTTTCCAGGCCGGTCAATTGCCCAGTTCCCATTGATGATGGAGCGGCCAGAACGACTTCGCAAGGCTGTTAAGAAAAATAAGACAGTTTCTCAGGTAAGCCCAGGGTGTACAGAAGAAACTGAACTATTTCTCCCCCTCCCCCAGTTACTGGCTCTTGATTCCTCAAGTTTTTCATTAGGATCCGTTATGTGCCAGGCACTGATCTAGGCCCTGGGACAGTATGAGGTGTCTGGATCACATCCCTTTGGACTTCCTCATCCCTTGTACCCATTGCAATCCCTTCGCCATAGAAACAAAGTGTGAGAGTGGTTAGGTGAGGGGAAACTATTATGTTCCATTATCCAGGTGAGAGGTTGCACATTGCCAGCTCAGCAGCTCATTTGGTCTACAGATGGGCTTAGTTGGGACTTCGTAATGTGCTTTTAAAAACATAATTGAACTTAAATTTAAGAATTGGGAGATTTTACATAAAAAACTAAGAGTTCTAGCTTGTCTTGTGAAATGAGAAGACATGTTAACATTGGCTGCATCCCCTGGAGGCAGCTGTGTGTGAGGACTGTCCCTGCCTGCTTTGGTTCGCCCCAATCCCCACTGCTCCATAATATTCCCCAACATGGAGGCCAAGTCTCTGTTTATTATCCATTTAGTAATGAATATGACTTATTTATTCCATTTGTGATCATGCTGCATTGCTATTTTTCTTGTAGAATGAATTTTTCTTACAATTTTTCTACTTTATGTCCCCTAAAAGTGGCAAAGCTAAATATAGGCCAAAGGTTTCACAGTATTTTCTCCTACTGGGTCCACTTCATTCATTTCTGTTGCCTCCCTGACTTCTGTGGGCCTTTGAGGCTGAGTGCTATGTTAGATACTTCCACATACACTGTCAAAATTAAGCCTCACAACACTGCTGAGCAGATGCGGAACCCGATCTTTCAGGGACTGGTTCATGGACCAGAGGGAACTGTTCAAACTCAGAAAGATGGTGAGTGATGGAGCTGTGAATTTGTGGAGTCCACACTCACAAGGGAGGTAAGAAAGGAGAAGGGGCAAGAAACAGGAGGTAGGGTTAATGAGAGAAGAAAGAACAGCACGTGAGAGCAGACTTTCTTCCCTTAGACATGTGACACCTTGAAGCCCACAAGATAATGGCAGATTAAAAGTGATTCTGTTTTAAGTGCCATGTACACAGTGGGTCCTGGGATAATCACCGGCTCTCTGAGCTTTCACTTTACAGCGTTCCTAAATTGAATTTTTTACAATGCATTGTGGAAAAATGTATACATAAACAAACGTATTGAAAGCAATATAATAAACCTCCATGTACCCACTGCCCAGCATCAACAATGATCAGCTCATGGCTTATCTTGTTTCACTTTGCAAACCCTGGACTCCATATACCCTTATGTTTTTCAGTAGGTGTCTCTAAAACAAAGGGACTTTTTGTTTGTTAGCCCAGTTTTCAGCAGCGATTCTACAATGGGCCTTCTCAGGCCTGAAGAGCTGGAGGCTGCTTGAAGGGGTGGAAGAGCCTCCAATTTCCATGCAGCCTCCTCTGCAGACTCTGACCCTGGCTGGCTGGTTGGTTGCCATGACTACCGAGAGACCACAGCTATGGAACATTGAATCCGAATTATAAAATCAATTCAGCTTATTGAGTGGCAAAGAAAGCTCAAGAGTAGAGATTGAGGAGGGGTAGGTTTGGGCTGTTTTCCATCAAAAACCACACTTCTTGAGAGTGGTCCATATAGTGTTTTCATTTCCTCATTTCCTATTCATTCCTCAACTACCTCCTGTTTGATTTCTGCCCCCATTATTCCATTGAAACAATTCCAACTCACGTCACCAAGACCGCCACATTGCTAAGTCCAACAGGCACTTTCCAGGCCTCCTTTTATTGGACATCTCAGCAACGTTTGGCACTACTGACCACTCCATCCTATTTGGAGCGCTCTTTCCCTGGCTTCTGGGATGCCACACGCACTCGGCTCACTCTCCACCTGCTCTGGGGCTTCCATTTTTCTTTTCTCTCTCGTATTTCTCTACTCAGCTAGTAAATGTTAGCATTCTTTAGGGATTATGAGTAGATGTGATTTAGGTGTTGTACTCCTCTCATGGGTCATTTTACCTATGTAAATGGCTTTAACTACACTATTCGGTGACTTCCAAACTTACGTTTCCAATCCAGATTTTTCCTCCAGTCCCAGACTTTTGTATCTTATTGCCTGCTTGACAGCTTCATTCAGATGTGTTGTCTTAGACTGAACTCGTCCTTGACTCTTCCAGTGTTTCTTATTTCAGTAAATGGCACCCCATCTAATTAGAGAACTGGAATCATCCCAGACACTGCCTCTCTTCCTTAGCACCTACATCCAATCCATCATCAAATTTTATTTGACCTCCTCCATATTTCTTGAACCCATCTACTTTTCTTCATGTCCACTGCCATCATCAAGGGCCAAGTTACCATCAGAGCTGATCTGCATTAACTCAGAAAGAGTGGGCCTTCTATTTGGTCTTCCTGTTTCCTTTCTTTTCAGCCAGAGTGATCTTTTCAGAATGCAGATTTGAACACCAACTACAGCTTAAAATCCTTCCTTGGCTTTCTATTTATCTCGGGGAAACCACCAATCATTAATGGGGCTGGGGCCCTAGGTGATGTGGTCCAGCCTCATCTTGTGCCACCGTTCTTCTCTCTGTGCTCTGCTTTCTGGCCTTCTTTCAACTCATCTGAGAGACCCCAACACCTCCCACCATGCCATGCCTTTTTTCAGAAATGCTTCCCCTAGCACCCAATCCTATGTATTCTCTTTTTCCCTTTCTTTTTTTAAACACTTGAAGTTATTGGAGTGACATTGGTTAATAAAGTTATATAGTTTTCAGGGATACAATTCTTTAATATACCATCTGTGTATGGTATTGTGTGTTCACCACCCCAAGGCAAGTCTCCTTCCATCACCATTTTTTCTCCCCTTTTACCTTCTTCTACCTTCCCAACCCCTCTTTTTCCTCTGAAAATCACCATATTGTTGTTTGTGTCTATGATTTTTTTTTTTGCTTAATCCCTTCACCTTCTTCATGCAGCCCCCACTACCCGCTCCCCTCTGACAGCTGTCAGTCTGTCCTATGTATCTACCAGTCTGCTTCTATTTTGTTTGTTAATTTCTTTTGTTCATTAGATTCCACATATAGCTGAAATCATATGGGACTTGCCTCTCTCCTGTTTGTTCTTTCGCTGTCAGCTCCTCAGCTCAGTCTTCTTCCACCCCCAGGCCAGGCCTGTCTCTTCTCTCACTAAGAGATGCAAGAACTTTTCCTTCAAGGCACTCAACTCAGTGGGCAGACACCCCCCATTCAGAATGTGATAGGATTAAGGTTTGTCTCCCAGCACACTGTAAGATCCACCACAGCAAAGACAGTGCTGTTTCCTTACTGTTGGAGCTGCAGTGCTCAGCACCATGCTCACCACATAGTAGGAACTTCCGATTTGCTCAACACAAAAATATGTCGTAGAAAAAGGCAGCAGCTCAAAAGAAAGATAGGCAAAGAATGATAACTAAGCAATTATCATAAAACCAAGTACAAATATTCCATAAGCAGACAAAAGTTCATTTGGTTTCTTCCATAAGATGGCTCTCGTAGCACTTAGTTGTCCTTAACTTCATTCAAAACAATTTTATTAGACTGTATTGTGACAGCTGTCATATCACCATGCATTAAAAAAACTTGTCCAAATGGGTGAATTTTTGTGTAGCCATTTTAATATTGAAGGTGGAAGAAAATAGGCAACATTTTTGGCATATTATGCTTTATTATTTCAAGAAAGGTAAACATGCACTTGAAACACAAAAGAAGACTTGGGCAACATATGGAGAAGGTGCTTTGACTGATCAAACGTGTCAAAAGTCATTTATGAAGTTTTATGCTGGAGATTTCTTGCTGGACAATGCTCCACGGTTGGGTAGACCAGCTCAAGTTGATAGTGATTAAATTGAGACATTAATTGAGAACAATCAGTGTTATATCACATGGGAGATAGCAGACATACTCATAATATCCAAAGCAATGAAGTTATTGGTGAAAATGAAAAATGTGTCTCTTGTTCTACAGAAAAAACCATATGGACTTTTTTGGCCAACTCAAAAATTTAAGAAATATAAATCAAAACCACATTGGGATATGCTTGATCCACCACAATGGCAAATATTTGAAAAGATTTAATGCTGCCAGAATTGACCGGTGTATAAATAAGCAAGCACCCATTACCTTGTTGGTGGGAATATAAACTAATTCAACCATATTGGAGGAGAGTGGTCATGTTGCTAAATTTTTCTTTTTAAAGATTTTATCCACTTGTTTTTAGAGAGAGGGGAACGGAGGAAGAAAGAGAGGGAGAGAAACATCAATGTGCGGTTGCCTCCTGTGCACTCCTACTGGGGACCTGGCCCACAACCCAGGCATGTGCCCTGACTGAGAATCGAACTGACAACCTTTTGGTTCACAGGCCGGCACTCAGTCCACTGAACCACATCAGCCAGGGCTTACTGTTAAAACTTTTAAGTTCCCAGACACTTGACCCAGGAATTGTACTTCTAGGAAACTACTTGAGGCATATCTTTCTCTAAATATACAAAAGTGTTTGTAAGAAAGATATTCTCTGCAAGTTTTTTCTTTTTTTTTTCTTTGTTAATCCTCACTGAAGGACACGATTACTGATTTTAGAGAAAGGGGCAGGGAGGGAGAGAGAGAGGGGGAGAAAGGTTTATGTGACAGAGAAACTTTGATTGGCTGCCTCTCGTCCACACCCCTACTGGGGACTGAACCTTCAAGCTTGGCCTGTTCCCAGGACAACCATGGATCGAACCCATGACCTTTCGGTTTATGGGATGATGCTTCAACTAACTGAACCATACTGGACACAGCTCTGAAGGTTTTTTGTTTTTTTTTTTAAATATAGAAAAAACTAAAAACAACCTAAACATCCATTAGTAGAGGATTGCTTAGGGGAATTACCTAGAGGATGTCCACGCAGTGCAGCCCTTAAAACTGTGAGACTGGGCCGCG